GCAGCGAGCATTGTGATTGAACCTTTTACAGAATTTTTGGTTGATGGAACGGTGCCGTTTGGGATGGTGCTGCTATTATAGTGGTTTATCAAACTTGGCCCTTTTACAAAAGCAAATACTAATGCGCCCAACATTCCAACCATTGAACCAATGACTTTGGCCACTCCGTGTGACTTCTTCAAGGTCACCGTCTCTAATCTTTTCATTATATATAAAGTCAGTTTAGATTTCGAAATATTTAATCAAAAAATATACTGAATTTTTAGATGTATTGGTTCTAACTAAATTTTAGATAATTTAATTTGATTCCATATTTTATTTGACCTACATGGTTTGTTAAAACTTAAAATATACCATATTGAAAGCGTAGGTGATTCAATAGTCACATCCATTCCTTCAAACATATTTTCTTATATTATTTTCTTTATCCTCGTTCTTTCTCTAGACAAATCTTTTGAGTCAAAACTCAACTCATAATAGTCAATTTGTTGTTTCGCCTGCTTACTTTTTCTTATCTTCGTAACTAATTTACTTTTACACAAAGCAAAATAACAACTTGGTATATTTTTATGCATAAAATAAACTGTATTTTAAAAGTAACCAATTCTCGTCCACACTTATAATTGACAAATGATATGAAAATAATAATATGGCTATCATTTATGCTTTAAGAATATAAAAAGAAACAATAAAATAGATTAAAGTGATTTTATTTGATTTGATTTTTTTTTACGATTCTTTAGCTTTTTATCACAAATTATGTAAAAGTTAAAATAAAGTATTATGCCCCCAACCCCCGATTTATTTTTATAATATAAACACAACCTTTGGATCAACTCCTGGCTTATATGAAAGAGTGAGACACTTTTGTATATATACCTGAACAGGAGAGCCAAGACGAAGGTGATAGAGGGGATGGCGTTGGTGGTGGCTGCCGCGAAAGTGGCGGTGGTGTTCTCGATGGCCACGTAGTAGAGGTTAAGACTCAGCGTGAGTCTAAATTTTTATAACAATATTGTTAGACAGTTAGTTAATAACTTAACTCCAAGAATCAGAATTTCCAATATATAGCAACATTATTAGTCATATATACCCGCATAAGGAGATAAAGAATATTTTGAGCAACAAGACAAACGATAGAGGAGAGGACTTGGAGCTGCAAAACAACGTTAAGAATATGAGAGTTTATCGCAGTTTTCTTTGGTCCAAAAAGATTATGGACCGAAGATCCAAAACTTCTCGGTTAGCTAAAAGCGAAGAATTTAGAGTTATAGAAGAGAAGAACCTTTCAAGGAAGAATGCGAAAGGCGATAAGGCAAGAGCCGCGAAGGCTTGTCTATAGAAAACAAAGACAAAAGGGTTAGTTCCTTGAGAGATAGCCACTTTAGAGAGCAATGGCATTCCTGCATATACAATTTGTACAAACACCATTGCCATGTTGGCTTTGTGCTCCATCATCATCGTGTAATAGTGATGTATGTTTTGTCTTTTGGTTTTTTTTTTTTTGATGTGATGAAGCTCACTTTGCTTCTCTCCCGCTATTTATGCATATGTTGTTGGTGGCCACTTTAAAGATTTTCTCTTCTTTTTTTTAGGTCACTACAACAGTACAGCTAATATAGACACGTGTACTTCCATTGAAAACGTTTCAATCAAAACAGCTCCCACACATCCATTTTTGTTTTCTCTCAAGATTTAGTGATTTTATCTCCTCATAAAACTGCATATAAGTATGTGTCGTCTCACATTCCGCACCCGCCAATTATTTGGACTCTAATTATTTTGTAACACTAGGGTAAGAAATATTAGAACCATAAATTTTTTTTGCTGAAACTATAAACCTTGCCATGAAGGGGATACAATCGTTAGTTTAATTTATTACAATACTTTAAGAGAAAATAAAGCCGAAGATTCGAAGTAGCGAGACAAATAATGTCGCCAGAAAAGAGAAAGCAAGAGCACACAACTTCGCGTTGATAATTTACAATATGCATATTTGCTGTTCAATTCTTTTTTGTTGTTGTTTCTGCTTTTTTTTTAAAGTAATTGTCGAAAGAATAATTTTATTTATTTTATACACTATATTATTGGTCCGCATTTGCGTTAAAAGAGTGTAATCATAATAGTACTATTAACAAATTGCAACGTAGAATTAGTCAATTATTTAGTGTTGGTTGAAATAGGTAGTTGATAATAGTTAGAATAATTTTTAAAAAAATAATATAGTAAAACCTTTATAAAGAGAACCGTGAATACAAGAGTAATATTACACTAAATTTTCTTACATATAATATATATATTCTGGTAAGTTTGTAAAATTATTAATTTATGATATTGATAGGACTATATTTTTACATAGATTTTTTAAAAACTATTATCTTATTATTTTATCAAATGTTCTTAAATATTACACTAGTCAAATTTAGGAACAAAAATAGTTATTAATGATTATTCATTTAACGAATATTAATTTATAGAGGTTTTACTGTAATAGTGATCGAGACAGTGAAAAATTTAAGAAGTGAGATCTAACCGTGAAACCAAAAATGTCTTATAAAAGTTTGAAAAAAATGTTAATTATTCTAAATACCAGACACAATCATGGCAGTTGAACAATTTTCATTGTATATTTTTTGCAATGAAAATACCAATCTCGATACCTAGAGGTGTAGTGACGGGAAATACTATCATCATACATACCCACACTTATTTCAATTTAAAAGCTTTGCCTACAACAAAAAAAAAGTATAGGCCTTGTTCTTTTCCTGAACGCAGCGACACCGACAGAAAGGAAGAAAAACAGTTCGGCGGAAAAAAGAAAATACAGTAAAACCTCTATAAATTAATACTCTATAAATTAATAACCTTTCTAAATTAATAAATTCTTCCGGTCCCGAGTTGGGACCAGTGTAAAATATGATATAAATCGATAAATTAATAAGATAATAATTTTTTTGAAAATCCCATGTAAGCATATAGTCCCATCTATATCATAAATTAATAATTTTATAAACTTATCAATATATATATATATATATGTATATGTATATTTAATTTAATATATATATATATATATGTGATATAAATTTATATATGTCATATATGAATTACTATGATATATATTTAAAATATTATATGTAAAAAATTTAATGAAATATGACTCTATTATTCGAAAAAAGTTTGTGTTGTTTTTTAAACTTAATAATTGCTTTTTTACATGTAATTAGTTTTTAAAAAATATTGTTTATAAAGAAAAAAAAATTAGATAGAAATTTTTTAAGAAATTATAAAATTAGTAAAATCTTTCTATAAATTAATAATTATTAATTTATCGATAAATTAATACCTCTCTAAATTAATAAAATTTTATGGTCCTAACATTATTAATTTATAGAGGTTTTACTGTACAGTGATGAGAGAAGAACTGTCGCCAAAGATGAACGCCGAGCGACTCATCGGCTGTCATCCGCGACTCATCTTAAGTTGTTATTTTCAAGCTTTGGTGTCATTTTACTTAGCTCCTACTTCTCATGACACGTCGTTTCATTCTGTCGCTGCCGCTGTCGGATCATTTAGTATAAGAACATGGCCATATATATTCATTATCAAATTGAAAAGAAAAAAAGATCAAATTAAAAAGAAAAAGATAACCCAAAAAATCAAGATATTAGCTAAGAGATGCAACGAACGAGTCTTAATTGCGCATACACTTGGAGATGCTCCTAAAGATAGTCCAATAATAACCAAATGAATTACTATTCTTGATTATTCCAATACCTAAATTCACAAGAAGAAACAAAACAGAACATTAATATGCAATTAAAGTGAGATCTTGAGGCATGACTAGATCAAATTATTTATGACGATAATGTAGCTTACGACAAAAACAAAGAAGGCTACATGTAAATGTGTGAAATTCTATTATTTATCAGATAGTTTAGATTTTACCTCTTGTTCTTAAGATATATAATTCGATCAAGCCACCTAAAATGATCAATTCTATACCAAGATTGCGCAGATTAACGTGTTTAAATAAGATGCACTCATGACGCATGGCATTATGATATTCCTCCATCAATATCTTTCGACACATGTTAATACTATTTACATTTTTCAACTTTTAAAAGACACATGTGACAAAAAGAATGTAATGGTTCTAATGCAACCGTCGTTTTATCTTCAAGTAGGTGCCTAATCAAAGGGAGACAAAACAATATATGAAGTACTGTTTTATGACACTGTTTCAACAAATCAAAATTGAAACACTTTGTGTTGATATGTAATGAAACAACGACAGTGGGAACTATTCAACTATTATTAACGCATGATGTCGTAGTACCAAGTATGTTGACCCTTCATAATTCTACTTATTTCAACACGTGTTTTATAGCTTTTTCAAAAACTTAATCATTTTTTACATATTTGGCCGTTCCTATCGGACTTGCAACAATAACAAACAAAAAATGCAAAAGAGATATTTGGTAGATTTCTTCGACTGTGTGATATTATGTAAATGAGTAGGCATGAAATGTAAATAACTCTATTAGTGGGAATTTTTTTTTTTTTTCCTATTAGTGGGAATTTACTACCAGAAGACATCCCAAATTCCTAATATTATTTCCGACGAAATCTGACAAATTGCCGACTAATTTTCGATAGAAGGAATATTAGTTGCAAATTGGTCATAATTGTTTTGAAATATTTTAACCAAATAAAGATGGTCGGACATTAGTCAGACTTTTTCAAAAATTTGGAAGAATTTTTTGACGAAAAATTGGCATTGGAGATGTTAGAACATCGTGGAAAAGTGTCGACTAATGGTAATTTCAGACGATTTTCCGACAACATTTTTTTAATGTCATAAAAAATTCGTCGAAAATATGATTCATCAGCTTGTAAAGGTCAAGTCAACCACATTAAATTATAACCATCAAAAAATTCAAAAAAACCTAAACTAAAAACAAATGCCTATGAGCCTCATGAGTCATGAGTCCCAAAAGTGAATCATTCCTCTTTTGTTTCTGGATTTGTAAAAATCAATACATAAAATTTGATAAATGAAAGAGAAATTCAACCCAATTTCACAACTTCTCCTGATACCAAACATATCCATAATCAGATTTTGCAATTCGAGCTTTCTAGAAATTGAGTCGAAACAAGCCCACATGATAAGACACATTACAAGTCTATGTAGAATCAGCAAGAAAGAGAAAAACACATCACATTACAAGTCTATGCACATCTTCTTCTTCTTTCAGCTTGGTTCTCTGTGACAAGAACGTGGAACTCTGATCCAACCATGTCATGTATGTCGATATTCTCCATGTTGCTTAAGTTAAAAGTTTCCATGATCACTTCTAGAGTCACGGTGAAGCCAAGGTTAGACAAGACCCGTATCGCATTCCCGATTCTAAGAATGTTTTGCCGAGTCTTTGATGAGATGTTCTCATCATCGACAACCATAGGATCATGGGCTTGGGCGTGTTCCCCGACCCAAATGAAGCCATTACGGCCGAGAATCAAATCGATCACAAGAGTTTCTATGAAATGAAAGTGAAGGTTGCTTCTCTTAACCAAGTAAGGATCAACCTTGAGAAGTTGTCCCTTGTCTAGCTAGTATAAGGAATTAATGGATTAGTCACAATGTTTAGAGAGGAAGAGACAAGGAAAATCTATAACTTTGACTATGTCCCAAATGAGAATCCCCAACCTTGCCATACTTGTGACTTCGAGCTAGTAGTAGCTGCAGGCTGCCATCGCGTTGAGTTTCGCCTACTTGGACCTAGAATTTGTACAAAACAAAATAGAAAAGGGAACCTTTCTTGTCAGGAATGTTCAAAGATGAACATATTTAAAGATGGAGGATAAATTAAAACAATAGAACTTACACAAAGGACATCATCTTCTACCAAAATATTCCGCATATTGAGTTCATCCACAGACGTCATTCTCTTCTGCCAGAAACTTAAATTGTTGAACCCAAAAGACAATGTGGCAAATATTAAAATAACCAAAACAATTGGGTAATCAAATAGAAACCTGAACAGAATCAGGCATATTGATGGAAGAAAGCTTCAGTACTCCATCTTGAGTAGAGTTGAGCTCCACTTTCCAATGGCTTTGAGCAACCTAAATAAAGAACAAGGACCCTTGTTGCTAATCTATCTCAATCAGATTTCAAAACCCAAAAGCACTATAACAAAACTTATACCTTAATGACACGGCCTACCACAATATCCCCAACCTCAGGCTTGTACCTAAACGCAATAATCATTAGTTCAAGTTAATGTTCATTAACAATTCCGTGTCTCGCAAGGAAATGAAACAAACCTAGCTCGCAAGGTGCGTACATAGACGAGTTTGTCCACGTTAATCACAACTCCACAGACCGTCGTCAGCAAGTCACCGTCGATCAAGGAAGTTCCGTGTCCCCTTCATTCAAAATATCAAACATCAGAACAAAACAGAGAAGCTGGGAGAAACAGAGAGAGAGAAGGAGATTACTTAAGGAAGGCTTCTTTGTGGTTGACGGAGATAGAGTCGGCAACGATGACAGAGTTGTTTGTCGTCGACGACAGAGATTTTATCAGCTCCATTGCTCTCTCTAATCTGACCTTCTGGGTCTGCTTCAATGGTGGTAGCTCTACCTTTAGATTTTTCATCACAAAACAATGGTGATGATAGAGGAATACCGACAAGAGGAAAAGAACAAAACAGACTGTTTACGAATTTTTAGGTTTTAGGTAGCATGGGCTTTCGGTTATCGGTTGGGTCCATTCGGTTTCGGTTCTTTCGGTTTCAAAATTTAGTATCCATTCGGTTATTTTGAAATTTCGGTTCGGTTTCGGTTCGGTTCCGGTTTTTTCGGTTTTAAAATTTAGTATCCATTCGGTTATTTTGCTTAGGATATTTTCGGATATTTCGGTTATTTTTGAGTATTTTCGGATATTTTTGGATATATTTCGGTTATTTTCGAGTATTTTTACTATTTTTATATATTTTTTAAGTATTTTTGATTATTTGGTCTATAAATAACTAATTATTTTGAAAATATAATTGTATTTCGGGTATTTCGGTTACCCGAAATATTTCGGTTCGGTACCGATTCGGTTACGGTTATTTCGGTTATAGAATTTAGTATCCATTCGGTTATTTTCAAATTTTCAGTTCGGTTCGGTTCAGTTTTTTTTTCTTCGGTTTCGGTTCGGTACATTCGGTTCGGTTTATTTGTCCAGTCCTAGTTTTAGGAGTAATTCTTTCATTCATTTGTATAAATGAATCTGGGCCTTAGTTTTTCAATGGGCCAAATGAATTAAATAATTGGGCCCAACTTAGCACGCCGGAGACGCTGTTGTGTGTTGCTCAATAAAGAAGAAAAAATGACGAATCTTTTTCTTATCCATGGTGAATAACGAGGATACGAGGACGAGGTTTGTTAGCATTATCCCAAATAAAAATGACGGCCAAACCCGTCACTGCCACGTGTCATCCCGATCTCCTTTTGGCTTCGTGTTTGGAGACGTTCGATGCTCACCGGTCGCGTCTTTATCCTCTCATCATCTTCCTCGAAACGTGCAACACACAAAAAATTGACTATAAAGATTGCAAATTTCAATCTTTAAATATCTGATTCAAAACGCATTTGGTAGGCTGAGAAAGAAAGAAACAGAGGAACACAAGAGATGGATCACGCAGCAGATGCTCACCGTACGGATTTGATGACCATTACAAGATTCGTGTTGAATGAACAATCAAAGTATCCAGAATCTCGTGGTGATTTCACCATTTTGCTTAGTCACATCGTTTTGGGTTGCAAATTCGTTTGCAGTGCTGTTAATAAGGTATTAAAGTTTCGATTTTTATACATTTTTTTTTGTGTCAGGGCTTAAAAAAATATGATGTCGCTTTCAATTTTTGTTGTGTAAAGTTTCGATTTTTATGGGTTGTTGATGATGATCTGGAATTCTCTTTTTAGATTTGGAGTTGTCTCAATCGTCTTTAGTGTTTTAGGATGGCCCATTGAGAAAGTTTTGATTTTTATGGTTGTTGCAGGCTGGTTTGGCTAAGTTAATTGGTCTTGCAGGAGAAACAAACATTCAGGTAAGTTTATGGCTTTTGTCAAGATGATTGGTTTTGGTTCTTTTCTTGTGGCTTGAGATTTCATTTTTTTGTGTTAATTAGGGTGAAGAGCAGAAGAAACTTGATGTGCTCTCTAATGATGTTTTTGTCAAAGCTCTGGTTAGCAGTGGAAGAACTGTAAGTGTTTATAGCCTCTTTCTTTGAAGTTGAAAAGATTCAGGCATGTTTCAGTTTCATTTGTGTCTTCTCACTGTTTTTGGCAATTGAAACTTGGGGGCAGTCTGTTCTTGTCTCGGAGGAAGATGAGGAAGCTACGTTTGTGGAGCCATCCAAGCGTGGAAAGTAAGTTTGAAAGTGATCTCTTGTTGTTGGTTTAGGTAATGATAAATGTTATTGTTTGTATTGGTGATTGTCATCGGTGGTGATCGAGTATTTTTGTTGTTATTATATAGGTACTGTGTTGTTTTTGATCCGCTTGATGGTTCTTCAAACATTGACTGTGGTGTTTCCATTGGAACAGTATGTTTCTTTATCTAACCCGTTTTCTTTTTTACATTGAAAGAGGGCTTGGATGGTGAATTATGTGAAAAGTTTGTATTTTTGTGTTTGGTTTCATTGTGTGTAGATTTTTGGAATTTACACGTTGGACCACACTGATGAGCCAACCACTGAAGATGTTCTGAAACCTGGGAATGAAATGGTGGCGGCGGGTTATTGTATGTATGGAAGCTCCTGCATGGTATTGAAAATGAAATTCCCAAAGGCAACATTAGTATCAATTAGTCTGATTAGTTATTTCTAGATTTTTAATTTAATGTGATTTTGATCTCTCAGCTTGTGTTGAGCACTGGAACGGGTGTCCACGGGTTTACCCTCGACCCATCTCTAGGAGAGTTCATTCTAACTCACCCTGACATTAAGGTAATAGGAACTTATAAAACAATGATCGTTCTCTCTTTTTATAAATTTCTTAAGACTCATTAGTGTTTCTTGTGCACAGATTCCAAATAAGGGAAACATTTATTCAGTGAATGAAGGCAATGCGCAGAACTGGGATGGTCCAACTACAAAGTATGTAGAGAAATTGAATAAATCCGATCCAAGTCATCAGCTGACTTGATATATTCATGGTTCTCGCTGTTGGTGTAGGTATGTAGAAAAATGCAAGTTTCCTAAAGATGGTTCTCCAGCAAAGTCTCTGAGATACGTTGGAAGGTATTATATGGGACCCTTTTCTATGTTAAAGCTCTGTCATGGAAAATAGCCTCTGCTTTGGTCTCCTTTTGGTTAATTTCATTTTGTTAACAGTATGGTAGCCGATGTTCATCGCACACTACTTTATGGAGGAATCTTCTTGTACCCGGCTGACAAGAAAAGCCCCAATGGGAAACTGCGGTAAGTATAGGTTAAACCTGGCTGTTCAAATATACAACAATTGAAAGGTCGTTCTGGTTTTGAGTTTTATTGCATCTCCATAAACTGTTAAACACCAGCAGAAAACTAAGCTATTGTTTTGGTTTACATATGTGAACAGTGTGTTGTATGAAGTTTTCCCGATGTCGTTCTTGATGGAACAAGCCGGAGGTCAGGCCTTTACGGGAAAGAAAAGGGTATAAATTCTCCTCTTTACCCTGATTTTCTTATTTGACACTTGACAGAAATATAAAGGTTTTGTTGGTTATTCGGTTTACTGGTCAAGTAGTTTTACATTTCAATGTCCTGATGCAGGCGCTAGACCTTGTCCCGGAGAAGATCCATGAGCGTTCTCCGATATTTCTTGGTAGCTACGACGATGTAGAGGAGATTAAGGCTCTGTATGCTGAGGAGTAAAAGAAGAACTAAGCTTCTCATTCTTCTTTTTTTCTCTTACTGTCTCTGTCTCTCTTATTTCTATATACAGTATCTTCTTCTGATGAGACGAACATAACTCATTTACAAAAGGAAGACCTTTCTTTACCTTAAATGCACATAAAAATCTTCTTTCTTTCATATCCTTAATTTTTCTGCAGCTTCGAACATCCAATTTTAGATCATTCCAAGCTTGTCTTTTGATTGATCCACTTTATGCCACAGAGGAAAAAAAGAACTTTATTTCAAGTTTGGGAAAACAGCTTCCAATTATCTTAACCTTTTAAATTGAAGATCATACAGCGAAAAGATTTGAGCTTTCAATTTATGGATTGGATTTTGCTAGATGTTGTTTGTCTCTAAAATTAGTTATATAAAATGTGTATTTGGATACAATTTTGTAGGGGTGGGCGTATGGTTTTTCGCTTTTACAAAAACTGAAACCATATAGAAACCGGTTTGGTTACGGTTGGATTTTTTTGGTTTTACGGATTTTCAGTTTTATAAAAATTGAAACCATATAACAATCATATGTATTTCGGTTCGGTTCCGGTTTTTTAAGGTTTTTTTTCACAAAAAGTTGTTACCATTTTATAACAACTGATGTTGCAAGATACAACTGTGGAAACTTCCACTTACAAAACAAGTTAAACCTTCTAAGCTTACAACAACAAGATAAGCTTTAGTTCCCCAATAATGCAATCACCAACACTTGCAAAACAATAAAATTAGTTTAGTCAGTATACAATTAAACAAAATAATCGATTAAAACTATCAAAACCAAAACACCATTCTCGTTTCTTCATCAGGCAAAGCTCAAAACTAAAAAACTAAAGCACGAGCACAGTTAACTAATTCTCAATCACAGACGTGGAAAAGGATAGCACTTATAAGAAAAGAGATCGATTTATATAAACCCTAGATTTGAAACATGGCTTGGATTTGAGCTTAATCACGAATACCAGTAGCCTAATTTCAATTAAATCCTAGTACATTAGGTTGAAAACAGATCAAAGCATATGAACCCTAGAAACGCAAAGAGCAATTAAAAAAACAACAGATCGATGCATATAATGAGAGGAATCGATAATTTCAAGTCTAAACAAGTCGAAATCACATTGAAATGAGAGTAAGAATGTAATTAGAGTAGGGAAGAAAGAGATGCCTTCGATTTGAGCTCATTGGCGGCAGCGCTGGAGAATGTGTCTGCGGAGGAACTTGGAATCGAATTTGGTTTATGGTCGGCGACAAGGTTAGGGGCTTGGAATCGACTTTGGTTTGCAATTTGGCTTGGAATCGACTTGGATTTGAGAGAACTCGTGGATCTGAGAAGTTTAGGTTTTGTTACTAAAGAGACTGAACTGTTTATGTTTTCTCAAGAACAGAGGGAAAAGAAGCCGGTTAAGTGAATTATTTTGCTAAGTGTTGGCGGACTAAGTCATTTTGTTTCCTGCTAAAGGATTTGGGCTCTTAGCGTTTATCAAGTGCTATTATAAAGTAACCAAAATCACGAACTCATCTTTTATAGCAGTTTAGGAAAATGCGCTATCTTCTACTGCTATCAATGTTGATTTTTCTTATAGTGATACCTGGAAGCTGATTAGAAGAGTTTGCGCTACATGTATCTGCTAGTGAGATGTTAGATTCTTCAAGTCCAATTTGACTTTGGAGATGGAGGTGAGTTACGTCACCAGAAGATATTGACAACAATAAGATGCAAAAACTCAACATCACGATCGTGTTAGAGTATGA